TTGAAAGCTATGTTTATATTACCATATAAGATGATGCTAAGCAAAATGAACCTCAAGATATGGACACAAAAGGTTTTTATCTATGTCACTGTTTTTAATTAATATGTGAATTTTTGTTTCTTTTGTATGTTTTCCTCCTGTGGCATAACCCCTTTTGTCACTGTATTTGATTCTGGTGCCCTGTGTCATGTATATGCCTTTTTCTAATTTGGGGAGAGGAAGGGAAATAAGAAAATGCTGAACCAAGGTTACAGGTTGACCCATTGTAACAATGAGAAGTATAGGACAATATGTTGAAGATGAACTTTACAACTTCTGGGCTTGATGGGGGAGGATTTAGGAAGGTGAGGGAGGGAAGGGTTAGTAGGAGAAAAACAAAGGAAGGGATAACAATGCTCTATAGGAAATGTACTCATTACTTACTCACGTAACTGTAACCCTTTTGTACATTATCTTTACAATTACAAAGAGAAATATAGTTTTTATTTGATGTTTTAAAGTAAATGAGGGAGTCACATGATAATAGAAATGAACGTCTTTACATATTTATCAATGTATATTTAGAATGAAATAAATATGAATGGAAAAAAGCTTGAAGATTATATTTTAGTAATGTATACTTGTAGAGATTTTAATGTCAAGCAGTATATTTTACTTTTTTGAACAATAAAAATCTGATTGGTGTTTACTAATGTGTAGTTTGTAAAAGGGACTAACAATATTTAGGAAATTTATTTTTATAAACACTGTGGCTTTAAGAACGTTTGAAGAGCTTGAAAGCACTGTTTCTCAAAGGAACCAATGAAAGATATTCCTTTAGGGAAGAAAGATCAACTCTATTTACAACAAAGCAGAACAATGAAGGATTTTTAGACCCATAACACCACTCCTCCATTTTATAGTTTGGTTTGCCCTCACACAAAGTAGCATGCTGGCATCCACATTAGAATTGAGATTGACAAGGCATTCCTTTCATCCCTTACTGCCAAAACTCCTCACTAATAATAATTAACCATTCCTGGCTTTTGTCCAACAGTTAAATAAATACTGGAACAGCTCTGAGCCTCAGCTGCATTTCTAGCATTAGCTAGGGAAAGATGGGACTCTGAATGAGATTTGCTGAATAGCATCAGTATGGCAAAATGAGTACTCAATTGTCTATTTAGCAATGACCATTATTTTTATATATTTTATATTGGAGTGTGCATGGAAATGATTATTAAATGAGTCATATTCAGATTTCTAAAGTTTATTAGTAAACTTGTCTCATAAAACTGTTATATTGAATCATGATATTTGGAATATAGAATTGTTAATGTTTATAATTCTTAATTTTGTGCTTTCCTAGGTAATACAAATATATATATAAAATCATGTAAAAATGATTATTTATATATAATCATGTATATATGAATTTTTGTTCCTATAAAAGAAAATTCTTAATATTCAGGATCTACATAATAAAGAAATAGATAATTGCTAAGAAATAATTATTACAAATGCATTTTTATTTACTTGAGTATTTTTCTGCAGTTCTGTGTGCATTGTTTTAGGCTTAAAATTTCAAAGCACATAACATGCCTTGAGAAGAGTAAGTCTTAAGGTTTGTTGGAATAACTATTTGGAGGATGGAGGAGACAAGTTTACTTTCTATCATCTACTTTGGTCATGGAGAAAAGATAATTTCTACTCTACTTTTTCATGGAAAGGTAAATGAAGGAAGGAACATCATTTTATTTGATTTCTGTAATTATCTTTTCAAGACAGATCTGAAGGGTGAAAGGTAAAAAATAATGGACAGACGGAACTCTGCTCATTGATTTTGTTTCTCTTTTTTGTTCTTCAGAATGGCCTCTTTTTAAGGTTAATTTATCCCATGTCCTAAAGATAACAAATTTTAAAAACTACAATCAATGTATATGTCTTGTTCATACCAGGGTTAGGTTAAATTGTTATACATGTCCTGTAGTCCAAGCAAATGTTTTTATTTTCATGCCTCTGATTCCCATTGCAAAGCCCTTCAGCAATATCTATGGAAGCAAGCATCCATGGTAATGCCTATAATTCTACATATTTGACAGGTTGAGAATGGAAAAGTTGTGATTTGAGGCCAATCAAGGCAGAACAATTCATCTAAAGATCTGTAGGAGGCTAAGATAAGGAGCATTGAAGTTCCAGGCCACCCATTGCAGAAAAGTCCTTGAGATTCCATCTTGACAAAGGGAAGCTGGATGCAGTGGCAAGTACTTTCAATCCCAGCAACTATGGGAGTCCTAAAATAGGCAGATGCCAGTGCCAATTTGGTAATTTGGAAGCAAGACTCTATGCCCCCTAACCACCCCCCCAACCCCCCTCAACCCTCCCCTCCCCCCCCCACAAAGAAAAGTCTTCAATATAATTAGGGCTGGAGAAATGTCTCACTGGTCAGAACACTATCTAGCCTTAATGTCAAATCCAAGTACAAACACAAAATAGGTTTCTGCTTATTTCTTTTCTAATTTGAATGACATTTAGGTAAGACTTTATCCCTGAGTGTGATGTTGTAATTCTTGAATTGTCTTTTTCCATAGTCAAAAATAAAGAAATGGGCTGGGAAGGTAGCTCAGTGGTAGAGTGCCCGCCTAGCATTCATGAAGCTATGAATAAGATTCCTCAGTATTACATACACAGAAAAAGCCAGAAGTGGCACTGTGGCTTAAGTGGTAGAGGGCTAGCCTTGAGCAAAAGATACTCAGGGACAGTGCCCAGGCCCTGAGTTCTATCCCCAGGACTGACACCAAAAATATAAATAAATAAATAAATGTTTACTTCATTAAGTCATATTTAAGAGATAAAGTAAAAAAAGATAAGTTCACTTCCTGACTAGTACTTCCCTGTCCAGTTTCTGACTGAGATGTTTCAGTCCTTGACAGAAATTGCTTGAATCTTGACTAGAAAGAGAATTTCTGCATGAATTTCCCTAAAAATAAATATGCAGATTACTAGAGGCTTTTAACATTTACTTGGAAGCATATTTTCATAACTTACTACTCAAACCCCAACAAGCTTCCGTAATTTATAAATAAAAGCTATTTTATGAACATATATATCTCATTGTCCAAAATTAGTGTTGAAATAATCACTTTGGATGTTGACCAAGAATGAACACACTACAATCAGGAATTCAGAACATTTATTGCAAGAGCTGAATAATTGTAAATAACGTAGAACTGGCAAAGCAGTAACAAGGATAATTGTTTAGATATTTATTCTGTCAAAGTCATCAAACAACCCTCACAAACCGACAAAAATGTACTTCAATAAGCAATGCACCCCTACCCATTATTTTCCATTATACTGTGGAAAAATGTGAACTGCTATTTACAAAGTAATTTTGTTTTTGGTAATAACAAATTAACTATCAGATTAGCAAACTTCTTTTAATTTTTTTGTTTGTTTTATATATATATATTTTAAACTGATGGTGAACTGTGGCATTAAGTAACTTCCACTTCTTTCAATAAAGACATTTTGTTGCATGCTATTTATTTGTTTAAATCATCTGTCATGCCTTAACAAAAAACCTCCTAAGTATGTTCGAATTTGGATTTGTTTGCACGTGCAACTGAGATCTTATTAACATTAGCTGTCACTTTTTTGGTTTGACCTAAGTGACAAAATGCTGGTACCTGCCAGGCATTGACCAACTATGATAAACAAACAGTTAAACAGCAATAATTAGAGATTTATCCCTTTTTTCCCCCAACTACCCTACCTGGAGAATGTTCTGTTACATCATGAAGGCACAACACATTAAATATTTTGTGGCTATGGTCTAATAACACTTGCGTTACAACAACAGTATTGCATATGAGGATCAACACAAACTCTGCCATTTCAACAAAGTTGTAGAGACACACATTTGCCCAATTGAAACTAGTTTTGAGTAGTTATATTTCTTCAATATATGCTAATTTTGATACATTAGTTTAGTTTTGCATGGATGAAAAGTACAGGATATTATATTAGTTTAGATAACATTTTCCCATTATTCTCTCACTTAATGGTACTAATTAAGTGGGTTTTGCTTTTCCCTATTTTAAAATTAATAATGTGAAAAACAAGTGGTTCTGAAATTTCAATCATTTGTAGCAGTCTTCTTTTCTTTTGTATAGAGTTTTCACTCCTTTTTTTTCTTCTTTTCTTTTTTCTTTCTTTTTTCTGTTTCTTTAACAGAATTCTGGTGTCACAGCTCTCAAGAAAGAAGCAAAATTTCAGAACCCATTTCAAACAAAGTGTTTAAGATTTTTTGAACAATGTGTATCACGACAGACTAATAATGCAGAAACATTTCACTGAAAGAAACAACAAAAATAACAACAAAAAGGTATATAGAAATAAAGGAAAGAAGCAACCATAAATACAGAATTATGCTACAACATTTTAGGTGAATGCTATAAGTACACAAAAGTTGTTAATAATAACTTGCTTCTATTTACAGATACTTTAACACTGATTGACTTACAAGTGTCCACTAACGTTGTTAACAGCACAATAGGTTTAATGCTTATCTTTTTTTTTTTTTAAGTTTTGTTTGAAATATAATGTCAAGTATAGCGGTCCCAGCATAAATGAATGACAAAAAGAGCACAATTTTCTAACCAAATATATTTGTCAGTCACTCTAATCCATGGAACTTTCTGACTCTCCAAATGCCTATTCTATTGTTCATAGCAGCAGTCCAGGGTCAAAAGAAAATGCAATAATAAAAAATAAATTGCACAATAAAGAAATCTCTGGAGAGTTATTCAATTCTAGTAAACAAGATCACATGGCTAGTAGAAATAACTTCTCTCTTATGTTTCAAACAGTATATCCTCCATGGTACTAACACAAAGTTATGGATATCCCTGCTATAAGGGGCATAATTGTAGAGATCTACTGAATACATAAAGCTCTGACACACAAAGTATTAGCATGTCTATTAGGATTGAAGTAATTAGGTCCCAAATAGCCTTATCTTAGAGTTGGTGCTCCTTAGGACTCTCCATAGCACCTCCTGCTTGCTTATAGGACTTCAGATTTGCCAGAGGAATGTCTGTCATGTGATTGCCATTACTGAAATGGCCTTCATTGGATCCATACTGCTTGCGGTCATTGAACTGGTTCCTGTTGCTCTCTTCTTTCCAGGCCCTGGTCAGGGTATGCCCATTCACCAGCTTATCTTTCTTGACCCATTCTTTCTGGGGTGCAAATGTTGAGAGAGGAGATTTTGGGTGTTGGTATGGACCCAAGCCAGGAGGCATCCAGCAATTATCCGAATGACCCAACACCAAGCACTCTTGAGTGCACATCTCTGTAGCTTCAGCTAATCCTCGAGGACCCAGCGGTCCATCTGTAGAAGACATCAGACAGAGAAGAGAAGAAAGAAAAGACTTAGAAAAATCTGTTTAAGGAGACATACATTGTTCATCTCATAATACAAGCAAATGATTTGATTCCCCAATATGATCCTGAATTCTATGACATTAACACAAAAAGCAACCACACTTCTGGCTGTTGGTTCAGTATTTATCTTTTTTTAATCTCTTAAGCCATAGTATATACAAACATACTTTTTTTAAATAATAGATAGAGATAGACACAGATGGAAATTCAGAGAAATGAACACCATTAGAGAAACATAATTTAGTTTGATCAGTCATTCCATGGCATAGGAATCATTACTGATTTATGTTTTAAGGAAAAAACACTAAAATTTATTAAATCATAAAGATAAAATTGTAATAGGGAAAAGCTACAACTACATGAAATTTTAAAAAGTAAACATGATTTAAAATAAAAAGAACCATACTATTATGAAGGAAATGACCATTAAAACTAGGTACTCTAAGTTTTTAATATATTGTTTTGGTCTGAGGAGTCACTTATAATCCATTTCTTTAGAATATCATGTTTTTAAAACTTACATAGATTTTAAAAATATCTCTACATACAAACTGTACAAAGGAGTTTTGTACAAATTTGTAAAAAGGCATGCCATTCAACAAAGTAGTATATGAATACAATGAACCTTGATTAATGTCACTCCTTTAGTCATTCTCTCTTATCCCTTCTAATCCTGACTCTTTTTCAATTCCATAATTTTGTAGAATATGTGCTGCATTTTATGCCCCTTCTTTGCATTCATTTGAAAGAAAATTTTAACTTAAGTACCATACATATGTCATACTTGATCAACAGTAAACATTCTAAAACCCAAGTAAAAGAAGCAATTGTTATGTATTTTCACACAATGTTTGCTTCAAATTTCTATCTTTTTAACATTTAAAGGTGAATCTATTGTTGCTTTGTATATCCCTCCCCCACAGTATAACCCCTGCTTTCACTGTATTTGATGTCGGTATAATTTGTGGAGGGGAAGGGGAAAAACAAGTCGTTTAAATAAGGATACAGGTGGACCTGTTGCAACAATGAGAAGTACAAGTTGTTATGTCGAAAATGAACTTTACAACTTTGGTGGGGGCTGGGAGGATTGCGTGGGGGGGGAAGATGGGAAGGGAAGGGAAGGGGAAACAAAGGAGGAGGCTACAATGCTTGATAAGAAATGTACTCATTATCTTGCCCATGTAATTGTAACCACTCTGTACAGTATTTTCACAATAAAAAATATAAAAAAATTTAAAAAGGTGAATCTAATCTTATTGTTGTGATACACACTTCTAGTCCCAGCTACAAAGGAGGCTAAACTGAGAGGATCGTTGTAGCCCAAAGGTGTAAGACAAAACAACAACTCAAAAGTATTCATATAAACACCTATGCTAAATTCCTAAATCAATCTCATGGTAACTGACAGAAAAGAGAAGTCATCATAGAATATGTCATTTGTTTTTGTCACCAACAGAATATCTATTTGAACCAGGATTGCCAAACAGTACACATCTGTGAATGGACATTAGAAATCAGCCTTTTATTAATTAATTACTCATGAGCAAATGATAAAGGAATCAATGGATATGTTTGTTGTTGTTTTTCCTTTTGATTAAATACTCACCTGGCAAGTGATTGGTCAGAAATTAGGAACTGATTTTAGGAGTGAGTTTAAATGTATAGGCAAGAATGCTGAAGCAAACAGCATTTTCAGAAGCAACAAGTCTTCAAAACAAAGTACATACTAAACAAACACACACATTTGCCTACACAACAAATAACTGGGAAACCATTGGAATATAAGGTTTTTCTAAAACTTAAATTAATACAAATAGTAAATTTAAATCATTGTGTTTGTACTTGGTTTCTATTTGCTGCTATTTACCTTACTAATATCCTTTTATTTCTTGAATATTATCAAATACTTTCTGAGATAGGAAACAGTGGATGGAAAAGACAGATAGCTAACAATAGGCAATATCAGTAGAGTCCATATGTGAAAAACATGTGATTCAGAGGCACTGTTCCATATAAACTCAAATTTTAGCTCATTTATCTTTTTAGATCTGAAATTCTGCTCTTGAGAATAATTTTGAAGTTCTATCCCATCTGACCTATATTCCCAGTCCTTCAAAAGCAAACAGTTTTATTTTGTTTAAACATACATTCATTCATTTAAACTCTCTCTTGCAAACCTGCAATGATTACTTACTTCCTAGGATATTTAATTTACATTTATCTATGAGACCTTTTTGCCTTATATAAATCTGGCCACACTTTAAAAGTTCAAACTAATTTCTCACTTTTAGGTTTGTTCTGGTGTACTTAGTGATTGCATCCACAAAGCTAACATATTTTCCTAAAGCAAATTCAAGACTCTTGCAGTAAAGTCATAGAATTTGAAACTACCTTTTTTTTTTTTTTTGGTCCCGTCGTGGGGCCTGAACTCTGGGCCTGGGCGCTGTCCCTCAACTCTTCAGCTCAAGGCTAGCGCTCTACCACTTGAGTCACAGCGCCACTTCCGGCTTTTTTCTTTTTGCTTATGTGGTGCTGAGGAATCGAACCCAGGGCCTCAGGCATGCAAGGCAAGCGCTCTACCACCGAGCCAACTTCCCAGCCCTGAAACTACCTTTTATATGGCCCATTTTCATTTAATTACTGACTTACTCAAAGGTAAGATTATTTTCAAACTACCACAAGATTCTACTATCAGATTCTATAATTATACTGGTTCATGGGCCTTGGGCAGCTTGAAGATTTCCACAGATCTCATTTTGCTGAGGAATAATAAATTTCCTAGCCAAACCTGCATTCCTTAAATTATGTCTGTGTGTATGTGTGTTTTTACGCTGAGTTTCTGTACATTCACAGAGTATTTTGTTTTGTTTTATTTTGTTTCTACTTTGTTTTGTTTTCCGAGATTGAAAAATCATTAATGGTAAAGAAATGGCTTGTTGTTCTGCTTGTCTCATAATGCCTAAGCAATAGTGATGATCTATGAACAATGCTAATTGTTAATTAAAATTTTATGATGTTGAAAATGTTCTGAGAATTATTAAAGATATCCTCCACTAAAAGGCAGACCTTAAGTCATTATAACAGAGGATGCTGATTTCAAAAAGCTCACACCAAATGTTCCCCAACAGCAAATTCCTTTGCTTAGTGATTCTTTATGACAGGTAATAAATAACTTATATAACTCCCGGTCAAAAGTATTCACTACTTTTAGAAATCAGTGTAGATAAAAAGAGTTAAACTGTCACCAATTGGATGCATAACATGTATTGAAGGCCAAAAACCAACCCTTAATCTTTACTTTTCTGCCATCCATAAAGTTTGTTCTTCTCTTTTTAATATCTCAAAAAGGCAAAAGTGTTATCAGCTACTTCAGAAATACCAATGGAATCAAGCAAATATAGTGGGGGAGGAAAGGGATGGTAGGGGAAAATAAAAGAGGGTGTAACAATGCTTGACAGTAAATGGTCTCATTACCTTTCTCATGTAACTGTAACCCCTCTGTACAGTATCTTTACAATAAAAATATATTAAAAACTATATCTAAAGTTGTTTTTAAGCTAAGTATAGGTAATACACTGTATTTATATGTGGAATTTAAGTTTGATGATATACATTTTAACAATGTGTTACCTTTTATACTTCTTTTTACATCAATTATATGTAATTAGACCATAAGAATATTATTAAACAAGTGCTCTAACAGTGATAAGCACTGGGAATATTATAGCTAACAAAGTAGATATAAGATCATGGAGATAAGATCCTTCAAATAAATAATGTCTAAGAGTAACAGACAGGAGGTGTCATTTCTCAGTGTCATTTCTCTCTTTTTATAAATAATTGACAAAACATTTATGGCTAAAAGTTTTGTGTACTATGCTAATGTATTTAACTTGTAACACACTTTTTATATTAAATAGAATCATTTGCTCATTTAGAAATGTGCTATGATTCATCTTAAAGAAGAATGAATGGAAAGATTCTTATAAAGTCTATGAAGGAATTTGCGTAAGTTCTGTAATTTTTTTAAGTCAGCCTTCTAAATAGCCAAGTGGGGCAAAGAAATTAATGATTCATCAAAATGGACACAAAATGGCACTTGGAAGAACAGCAGGCAGAAATTTATTTAATATTCTCAAATAAGAGAAACATTCCAAACAAATCACACAAAAGTTGAACAGGGTAACAGCAAGCTAAACTCATGGGAAGGTATATGTGAATAGCCAGTGGGGTTAGCTGCATAAGACAATTCAAATAATCACTCAGGAACCAGGTTGTTAAACTATCTTACATTTTCTTGTATCTCTGCACCAGCATTCCCTAAGAAGATCAGGACAGATGTTCCTGGCACATGACTATGACAGCTCTAGAATTAATTGTCTTACAATGGGGAAACTGACAGGCCACCAACATGGTCGCCAACCAGGAGTTAAAAAAAAAAGAAAAAAAATCTTTAAAAAGCAATAATGTAAATAAACAAAAGCTATGCATACCAGTTGCCATTATTCTGTATGCTCTGAAATGCTCTGTTGGAAAAATACTTTATCTTATGTTTTGGTCAGTTTTTATTTGAGGACCTGATATTAAGTAGTGATTTTTTTTGTTTACTTTGTGTCTACATATATTTTCCAATATCTTTTGCAATAGAAAGTCAAAATGAAACATAAAAAGGACAACAACTCTTTCTCTTTCTGTCTCTCTCCTTCCTTTCTTCTTGCCATCTCTTTCTGACAGTGTTGTGTTAATGTAGCTGTTTTGAGATTTTATGTGATTTGACATGAATATTGATATAGCTTGTGCTCATGTCTGGGGGAGAGGGGAAATGGGGAGAAGGGAAATCTTTATGGATTTTTCCTGTGTAACTATTATTTTTGGGGGGGATTAACCTTCGTTTTTTTTTAATAAATTGACAAATATTTGATTTGAATGACAATATATAACCTGTGG